AACTAATATATGTACTAATATATTAACGTACTAATATATTAACTAATATATTAACCTACTAATATATTAACGTACTAACATATTAAAGTATTAATATATTAACTTACTAATTTATTAACGTACTAACATATTAAAGTATTAATATATTAACCTACTAATATATTAACGTACTAAGTTACTACAATAGAGTTGTATTTGATTGCATTAAATTGTACAGTACAGGCAAAACAAATCCCGTAACGAATGAAATAACATTTTAAACGACTTCTACACTGCATTTAGGACGAGAATGAGATTATTAAATGTATTTAAAGTCTTGATAAAATGTGCTTAGGCAATAGCTTTAGAGACTTCTCCCTCAGTTTTAAGGTTAAATTAAAAGCAGAGCATTTGTGCAAGGGGGATAGAGATGTGTGTCCGAGGTCTTCAAACTGTAGAAAAGGGCGGGTTTCTCAGTGATTCTCTGTGCACCAAAATATAAACAAGATCGATCTATTCATCCAGTCATAATATAATACAAGGATAAAGAGAGCACTGAATAACACAGTGGTGCATTATTAATAACTTGTCATTTAAACATTTATGCCACGCTGCAGTATTTGTTTATGAGAGATGGTAACAAGTCTAACAGATGTCTGTTTTCTCTTCAAGTAGGCAGTCCTCTCACAGAACTGTCCCAGAGAGGTAAGGAGATTCAGCCCTATTGCCTCCCTTCTTTTAAAAAAGCAGTGCCAGGGTATACAGACGTGTAGGCTAACCCAAACTGTATTTCCCGTACTTTTGTGCACATGACAGGTCAGGCGTGGTCTGTCGAGTGAAGTACTGCAACAGCCTGCCTGACATCCCTTTTGACCCCAAATTCATCACATATCCATTCGACCAGCACAGGTAAACATCAAGCTTCTCCATCCACGAAGTACACACTGTTGAAGATGGACACAGCTTGACGTTTGTGTTTCTGTTGTGGTAGATTTGTACAGTACAAAGCCACTTCTCTAGAGAAGCAGCACAAGCATGAGCTCCTGACTGAGCCAGACCTGGGGGTCACCATTGATCTCATCAACCCAGACACTTACCGCATAGACCCCAATAGTAAGTCTCCAGTTGTTGTCATATATTTTTTTTCAGTGACCATCTTGCTTTTCATGAAATGTGTGTTTAGACTGAACCAATCTTTTAAATTGATAGTATTGTTGGATCCTGCTGATGAGAAACTGTTGGAAGAGGACATCCAGGCACCATCCAGCTCGAAGAGGTAAGGTTGCTAAATGGGCAGTTTCGTGTTGTTGTAGATTCATGTGGAGATTTCTTTGTTTAAACGTTTTCTCCTTCCCTATAAGGTCACAGCAGCATGCCAAAGTGGTCCCGTGGATGAGGAAGACGGAATATATTTCTACAGAGTTTAACAGATACGGTGTTTCCAATGAGAAAGTGGAAGTCAAGTAAGTTGCGTAACTCTGAAATTACTTATAGAAAGGTGTATGAGTTTGTGTGCATGTGTATAACCTAGACGTATTTTGTGTTTAGGATCGGTGTATCAGTCAAACAGCAGTTTACAGAAGAAGAAATCTACAAGGACAGAGACAGCCAGATTTCTGCCATTGAGAAGACATTTGAGGATGCACAGAAATCGGTGAGTGAGCGTATAACTAGGCTGCTCAACCCTTTAGCATCCTTTTATGTTTCAGGCAAGTAAAAAACAAAAGACAGTAGTTTAAACACGTCCATTTGAAATATTATAGGTTTGCAACCTCAAAACCTTTTCTTCAGCTATTGCTGTAGAGCTGCTCAGTGCAGTAGAAGACTGTAATGGTCAGGTGTCAGATGCAAATCAGCACATTAACCCAAAATAGAAAAGGTGTTCTTGGTCAACGTGCATGTTTGGATAATTGAGAAAAGGGGCTATGGTCTGTAAACATGTTGTTTCTCTCCAGATTACACAGCACTACAGTAAACCCAGAGTTACTCCTGTGGAGGTACTACCTGTGTTCCCTGACTTCAAGGTGAGTTATAATTTCACTCAGAAAATGTACATGCATCAATTTAAAAAAAAAAAGTTGTCTGTGTGCTTGTACTTCATATAGTAATAATTTGTACACTTTCTCTTTCACCCAGATGTGGATCAACCCATGTGCTCAAGTCATCTTTGACTCTGATCCAGCACCTAAAGACATATCAGGACCAGCTGGAGTGGAAATGATGTCTCAGGCCATGATCAGGTATCGTCAAAATATCTGTTGCGCGGCTGTGCATTTCAACTGTTGTATTATTACATAAATGCTAATTCATGTTTTGTTTCTCTTCATTACAGAGGTATGATGGATGAGGAAGGAAATCAGTTTGTGGCCTACTTCTTGCCCCACGAAGAAACACTTCGCAAGCGCAAGAGAGATTGCGACGAAGGGATGGACTATATGCCTGAGGATCTGTAAGTAAAAAAATATTGCAGCCAGAAAATCCTCATGTTACTTTTCTCATTTTATGGTGTATACCAGAAAGCAATAATGCAATTTTATTTTCTTTGTTTCAGGTATGATTACAAGATAGCCAGGGAGTACAACTGGAATGTCAAGAACAAAGCCAGCAAGGGTTATGAGGAAAACTACTTCTTTATCTTCAGAGATGGAGATGGTGTTTACTACAATGAGCTCGAGACAAGGTGAGTCATTGATCAGAGAAGAAACTTGTTTGTTTTTTCACCTCAACTTAAAGAAGTGTGCCTTTTTACAGGTATAATTGCCGCTGGTGTGTTTAGTTCATGAGTGTAGACTGTTGTGCTTTAGAAAGTTCGGTGTCAATTGATGATGCACAAAACACGCAGCTCCACCACCATGATATGAGGGGCTTTCACGGGAAACTGTTAGGCCTTGTCCACTGACTGTCTTTCCTCTGTCTTGCAGGGTGCGTCTGAGCAAGAGGAGAGCCAAGGCTGGAGCACAGTCGACCACAAACGCTGTGCTGGTGTGTAAGCACAGAGATATGAACGAGAAGGAACTCGAAGCCCAGGTGAGTGTACTTTACAGGTATTTGTACTACTTATTGGACAGTACTTTGTTTTTGGAAGTAGGACTTTTGAATTGAGTTTAGTGACTGAATTATTTTCTTAAATTCAGTAGGTTATTCTATCAGACCTACAGCAGTGCTTTCCAACATGACTCAATTAATCTAAACTAATGACTGGAGCTCCTCTAGCATTATCTATAAGCTTGGATTCTTGGACAGTAGGCAGTGTACTGGTGACTGATTCCTTTTCATTGTGGTTCTCAGGAAGCACGTAAAGCTCAGCTGGAGAACCATGAACCAGAAGATGAAGAGGAAGACATCGACATGGATAAGGACATACCGGACTCTGGTCAGTTTTCTTGTATTCTACTTCCTGCACCGTAGCACTAGCATGTCTGATAAACCATTCACTGCATGCACTGAGGACAGGTTTTTATCAATTTCTGTTTCTGAATTGTTTTCTCCAGGTGATGAGAAAGAGAAGGGCAGCGGCAGTGAGGCAGAGAACTCTGGCAGCGAATCCGAGAGGGAAGACGAAGACCGGGAACAAAGGGGAGAAGAAGAGGAAGAGGATGAGGACAAAGAAAAGAGGAGGAGGAAGCTGAGCGGTAGCGGAAGTGAGAGCGGCGAGGAGAGGACCAGAGAAATGCGAGACGAGGAAGAGATCTTCGGCAGTGACGATGACAGCGATGACAACGAGCCCAAGAACTCAGCCAGGAGCAGCGGGGAGGAGGGCAGCGGAAGCGAGGATGAAGGAGGGAACAGAGGAGGCAGCAGGAGTCGCAGTGCCTCTCCAGCGCGCAGCGACCGCAGCAGCGACCACTCGGAGAGGGCGCAGAGTGGAAGTGGAAGTGAGAGAGGCTCAGACTCCAGTGATGCCAGTGACAGTGAATGAGATCTGTGGTCCGGACAGAAAGGTGATGGCCACCTATCTTATCTTTATGTTCAGCCCCAAACATGGCAGTGCCACCCTGTCACTGACCCTGATATTAGCTCAGTCCGGGGCTGTAGTTTCTTCATGATTGCAAATATCAAATTAAATTGTGTGTGCAAGAATGCTAATTGGTTTTGGACTGGGGACATCTCTCTTCAATCCAGTTTTTATTTGTAGATTTAACTTGCGCACCAGTAGCTATTTGTACACCATTTCTATGTTTTCTTGTCTGTCAAAAATATTCAGGATCATGTAAAAATCATGTTCTTCTCTTAGCTTTTGACATGTCATTGAGTTACAGCTTTGAAGCGCATAATAAAATGCAGGTGACATTTTGTAAGAAACTCAGTGGTCAAAGGTTGTTGTTTTTCCCTCTTTAACGGATTCAGGGAACCTCTAAGTAATTCCATAAATTAAACAGTTTATTTTACAATCTGCCAAGAAGTACAGGACTGTCTGTGCTCCATTTAAAAGTGATTAAATATTTGTTTAGTTGATGCTTAGTTCACACTTTTGTTTGAAGGAATAGAAGAATGTCTAAAATGATTGATTTCATTGCAAAACTGACAAATCAAACTTTTTCGTATTGTAAATCATTTAATAGCACAAGTAACATGCACAACAAGTGAAGATTTAAAGAAAAAGGCTGATAGTAGTAGTAGTAGTAGTTGGAGATATGGGAGATGCATATTCAGCGAAAAAATGCCAGCTGGTTCTTCAGCCATTCCTCTGTCAAGTCATCAGCATTTCTTGTTTCAAAGACCTCACAGAGTAAAGCATAGAGTGTCACGTTCAAGAAGAATAGAACATTTACCATTAAAGGTGCATCTTCTAAACTAAAATTAATATACATGTTTAGAAAGACGTTTATTTTTTATTACATTAAATACTTATTTTATTATCATTCTTCAATATACTGTACATGGAGGTATGATAAACTGTAGGTCATAATTACGAGATAATTACCTTTGTGAGTTCTGCAGCTTGGACCAGTTGATTCTTACTGCCTGCATACATCATCTGCTGCTCTGGCTTACATCCTGTTAAAATGGAATTGACATTTTTCCAAGTGGTTCTGTGATTTTACCAAACATACCTCAGCCAATCTAGTAAGTGCCACCTTCATTGCTACAATAAATTTTAATAAAGTGGATTTCAGACGTGAGGAGATAATGGAAAACGATTGCTTTTGATTTAAGACACTATTACTATGGATATTACCATAAAGATTTGATTAAAGAGTTAACTACTTACCCATTGGACTGGAGAATATGAAACACAGAGGGTAAGACACTCTCCCATCCCCATGGACATATTTGTAGCTGTAGACAATGAATGTGCACTACTGTCAAGGAATTTCAACTTTTTTTTTTTTTTTTTTTTTTCAAATGTTAAAACACTTTTTTCGTTGCAACTTTTTCTATATCAATAGATGATTTTGCAAGTACACTTTGGGTGAATTTGAGGATTTTGCTCTATTCATAAGACATTCAATCAGGATATCTGGGTTGCCGCTCTGGAAGTTCATCTCTCAACTCGTCCAGTGAGATGTCCTAAAAGACAAAGTTGAGTTTGAGTGACATTTAATGCAGAATGAAAAAAAAAAAAAAAAATGTCACTTGCCTCATATTCTTCCTCAAGGATGACAAGTTGTTTCGCCATGTCTATTTTCACTAAAAAATAAAAATGAATATTTAGGGTTTTTGGTTGTGTTTGTTGATGCACTGATATTTGTACGGGATTTGAATTTGTGTTGATCAAGTTACAAATGTAAAAATAATAACCTTCAACATTAGTATGTAGTACTCACTCAGTATGGCAGCATTGTTGGTCTCTTTTCGGAATCTAAACTTTTTCAGTTTAGCTTTCAGACTTTCCTCCACTTCACACACAACCAGAGAGCTCGACTGCAAAATAGCGTAACAAAAATATCACTCACATTGTGTCAATATAAGAAATATTAAAACATCCCCATATGCTCCAGTGCTTTTGATAAAGTAGATTGGTCTACGGGCCACAAATAGAAACAAAGTAAGTCAGTAAGAGACATCTGTTCAGGTCTCTATCAACCTTGTATGGATGCATTAAATATTCATAACACTATTCTGACATATTGAGGGCAGGAAATGTTTTTGCTGTAACATGCAAGAATGTAGTTTCCTGTGTGAAAGCGCGCGGGGGGATGGTCAACATGCGTCGCAATGGTAAAGTAAAAAATATATATACACATAAATGTATAAATGACAGGTCATCAAATCCAGTAAATTTGAACAGAGTGGCAAAATCTTTCAAACAATTGCATCAGTTTCACCTACCATTCTCAAAGGATCCTTTCCTGTCTTTCTATATTCAGGGTGACTCTGTCTTGCTGACAGCTCCTCTCAGACTGTCAAGGTCCTCCTTAAGATGGCAAGGGGAGGGCAGGCTCGAGCATTCAGCAGTTCTGCTTCCTGTTTTTAACAGCACAAAATGACTCGCGTGCAAACTCAGCCAAGTGGGGTTTAAAACCAGATGACCATCTTTGAATGCATTAACAAAAAGATCTGCATTAAAAGCAATGCATCTTGGTACGGCAGAAGAGATTGTGTTTAATTTTAATAGCGTCGTACAGTTTGATGTTGAAGAACACAGTTTTACAATATGTCTATCGCAAGAGCAACTTTCACTTCCCATAACATCAAATAGAAACTTACAGAGCTTGAAAAGGTCCTCCGATCTAACAACACCACAAAAGAACAATGCTAAACAAAAAAGTAAAAGTATAGAACTATATGCAATGAGATGTAGGCATCCAAAGTAAAATATTTTAATAAAAAATTTTTCTGTCACAGCACACAATAATATTGCACCATATTGTTAAAAGTGTTCAGGTTATGGTGCATTATTAAAATGTTTGATTGTTACATTTTGGGCCACGCCTGCAGGCTTCAAACTGAATCACTGTTGTGCAGAAAAAAAAATGAAAGTGGCGTCACAGGTTTGCTCTCCTGGTAAATGCATTACATACCATTATGTTGCAGCCCTGGCCATACCCCAACCTGTGATGTCACAGCAGGTCGTTTGCCACTTACCTTTGTGTGTGCTGTGGTGTGTTTGCCATTGACAGCTGAAAGCAAACACCTGCTGTGGGAAATGGTTGCGGCCAGATTACATTATGCTTTCAACCCACTCCCAAAGCAACAACAGTTTTCTATTCTATGTTATTTGATGTTGATTCACCGTCAACAACAACCACCTCTGTATGGAGGATCTCAATCTTTATCCTAAATCCTAAAATTCTCTCAGCCATTTATAATGTCAAACTATGACTCCTTTGTTAACTTATTCACTATTCCCTAAATACTCAGCTGTCGTTGGTGCTGAAACAGTCATAATGAAGTACTAGATCATCAAAAATGTAATTAACACAAATGATAAGAAAAGATAAGATGTACCTTTATTGATCCCCCGTAGGAGAAATTCAAGTCAGACACAGCAGCATAGGGGACTGTAGTGCAAAGAGTATAGAGTGTTAATAACCCATTATCAAGTGGGGTGACTGTAGCTCAAGTGGTTGCTCATTAATTGTGGAGTTGGTGGTCCAATACCCTTGGCCTTGAGTAAGGCAATAAAGCCAGACATTCAATTCTTCTAGCTTCTTCAACCATGTTGAAGATTTATCAGTTGAAATTAAATATCTTTGGGCTTTGGGAACGTTCAATTGAGATTATTTAAGTATTTTCTGACATTATATTGATTATTACTATTACTATTATCATAAAACTAATTAACAAATCATTGTTATATGGGGAAAAAAAACATTTAGGGGTAGTAGTTGTGACAATACCCAAGATAAAAAACCTGATATGGAGCGTTTCATATATAACACATATACCATACTATATATATAAAACTGTTTGAGAAGAGTGCCTTCTGGTTATCAACAGTTTTCTGTTTTTCTCCCATATTAAAAACCCGAGTCCAACGGTGTTTCTACTTCTCTACAAAAAAAAAAAAAAAAAAAACCTCCATCTGCTCTGCTCTCAGGGTGGGAGCCTCTTTATTTACCAGACTGTGGGCGGAACAAAACACTACGTACAGTCCAGACGTATGACGTCGCACCCACGTCTTACGTCAACTCAAACCCGAAGTAGATTTCTCCAGGCGTACTCTCTTTTTATTTTCTGCACTGCAATAAACATTTTGTACATACAGTCTTCACCAGGGTGTGTTTGAAACCACGGGAGCTCGCCGCCGTCACGGAATACCCTTAAGGAATACCTCGTACGGGATCGAAATCTACGCTTCTCTCAGCTAGGCTAACCTTATTGCATCTATTAGCAAAAAAAAAAAAAACTTGCTAGCGCTAGCACCCCTGCTAGCTGCCCCTGCCCTACCGTCGAGCTAGCTATGCATTAGCACTTTAGCCTAGCTCGCTGACCAGTGACAACCGACAAAGGTAAACAACACACCTTTTGAGTCCGTTTATTGTAGATGGCGACTCGTGTAAGTTTGTCTAGTTAACTAGCTACAACCTGCTGTCGATTAAAACTGCGTTTCAACCTCCCCGCTAAGATTGGAGTGAAATGAGAAGAGGGGCAGCAACAGCTTCGGCGAAACACCACACAGATCCAGAAACCCTGTTCATTAACTAGGCCGAGCGAGCTGGAGATGGGTGAAACGAAGCTTTTCTGAAGCGCTGAATAACTGTGAAGCAATTGTGTTGGAAAAGGTTCACTGTTTCGGAGGGTTTTATACCGTCAAAAACGGCGACATCTGCTGGAGAAATCTGTGGTGTTGCATTTGTTTGGATGGATTAAAAGCTCGAGACCACGATGAAACAGTCACAGTACGAGTGGCTTTACTGCTTTAATTCGCATTTTGTCCAGTAGCTTGTATAGAAAGACCCGACCACCTTTAAACAGAGTCTACAGATGGAGATTGACAGGACGACCCCCGTATTCAAAACCAGCGCGACACCTCTCTGATGAGGCCTCGTTTGGGTTGGTCACGTGATTTTTGGCGTGGTGAAGCCAGTGAACTATCGATACTTCTGCTCTGAATGTATCTATAGATGTATGTGTATATATATCCATGTCTGTATACTGTCTAGTAAGTCTGCTATGAGCGTCCCATTACTGAACCAGGTGAAATGTTAGCCTGTTCCAGCTTTATAAACCTCGCAGGGATAATCACAACAACAGTCTGCTGACCAGAGCTTATAGACGGACACTCATGTTTGTGCTTTAATCAGAATTATAGCTCATAGTGTTACAGGTGGTACCGGTTGCAGTTAGTAGTTTTGGCATTACCCTGGCTGGTTATTGATTAATGTTTCTTCAGTAGCTGATAAGTAGCGTATTCT